TGATAGGGGGAGAGGTGGAATGGAAAGCCAACAAAATAAAATGAGTTTGGCTTGATTTTTTTCTTTTAATTGATAGTATACTTTTGTCATGTTCTTATTAGTGTTAAATGCTCTTACAACAAGCATGGTCAAAATTCATAATTATAGGGAAATGACCCTTTTTATGATTTTGGGTTAGCAACATGTAACCCTTCATCTGCATTGTGCTTTAGGGCATTTCATCATTCTTTTGTATAACAGTGAAATTCTGTGATCTGCTTTTAAATGGTGTTTCTGTTCAGGATGGTTCATGTTTCCAGAGAGAGAAAATTAGTATTCATTGTTTGGCACTACCATTTAAGAGAGTTTTATATTTGATTTTGTTGGATTGGCTAATTTGTATGAAGGTTGTTGCTGCCTTGAAATATGTGAAAGAACACTTTATTATATTAAAGACTTCAATCCTCTGCCAAACTCTCATTTGAAATAATAGCAAACATTTTCATAAGGGCTTGATTTTCAAACAGTTGTGTGTTCAATTGCAATCCTAATTTGCATTGGTAATTAGCACAGTTGCATGCACAAACTGGGTATTTGTACGTGACAGTTGCAAGTTATGTACCGTTTGCTGGACAAGCACATGATTTGTTCATGTATTCATTCTATTTTCACACAAATTAGGCACGCACATCCAATTTTTCAAAAATCAGGCCCAAATTATATGTAAAAACTAACCATGGAAAAGCATTCTAGGGAAAATGGGAGAAGTGCTGTTACTTGATTTTAAAATTGGGCTGGACAGAGCAATAGAAACATACTGAAATAATCATCTTAGTCACAGCTGGACTAAACGACCTAGAAGGCTGTTTTCATCTCTGTGATTAAACATGTCAGCTCAAAAAATGCTAACCGCACTCTGTTCATTTTTAGGCAATTCGAAGCTTTCAGGTGGCCTTGCACATCTGTCCAATGAGCCCTGAACTATGGAAGGAAGACCTTACCTGGGCAAGAAAGCTGCATGATCAGCAAAAGAAAGCAACAAAGACTAAGGCGATGCAAACTGACGCAAAAGAAGCAGATGTTGCCCATGAATCAATCCCAGACTATGACTTTGAAAGTGATGAGATTGTGGCAGTTTGTGCAGCTATCGCGGAGAAGGAGAAAACTGTTTCAGCAACTAAAACAGTAGTGATTGTGTCTGCTTCGGGCACAGTAGAGACCATAACTGAGAAGGAGGAATGTACTACAACCCCCGATGATGCCGTTTTTATCAGAGCCCGATAGTGCAGCATAATCTTTTGCTGGTATTCTTTTGAAATCTAACGTTATTTATCAAGTGTTGGAAGAATTTTTTTTAGCAGCAGTGGAACAGGGTAAAATAGAAGGAGTCATTATTTCTGAAGTAGCTTTTTCAGAGGAAAAGTGTTTTAAAGAAAACGTGAAAAAACAACAGATAAGCGAAGACCTGAATTCCTGCTGCATACGTAGTATCAACTAGGCGTTGATATTAAAACCCATATTGTAAGACTTCACAAATATAATTTGAAAACACTAATTACATTATCATAACTGCTTTCATCCAACTCAATTTCTTAACTGCACAGACTAAACAACATCTGCTGTTTCTCTTGTAATTAATTATCAGTTACTTAAAAAGAAAACGGAAAAGAGAAAGTTGATTTAAGTATTACAGCTCAAACCTGTTAATAATTAACATTATAGATCAACACAATTGAAGTGTGACTCTGAAAGCTTGTTCTCAGAAGTCTTTATTTTCAATAGGGGATAGAGTTTTTTATGAAGAAGTTACAGATCACAGATACTCCTTGTAAACCTGGGGTCAGATTCCAAGCCCATGTCTTACCTTGACCCATCCCAGTATACTTCAGTATATCTCCTTATACGCCACAGTACATAAAATGTTAGGAGTCCCCAGTGCACAATGGGGAATGGATTAGGAATAGATATTTAGATGTAACTCTTTTGTGCTATGATGATTTTACAGTAAGACTACAAAGAAGGGAATCTATTGCTGTGTTGTTTGGTCACATTCCCTGTGATATGGCATTGCACTCATAAAGAGTTAGATGATTTTTTGTTTTTAACAGGCCACTTATTCAGGATAGCATTTATTCCTGTTGCTTTGTGGGGACTGTGTACACTTGCTAAAATAAATGAACAAAATACATCTTGTGCTGCACTCAAGGAACACAGAATGCTTCATTTTGTTTGCTTGCTGGTTAATTCTAAAATTTCAGTAATTCATAATGGATCTCCCTTTCATGGGTGGGGTTCTAATGTATAGAACACCCATATATAGGATGTGTGTGTTTATAATCTTTCCCTTCTGTGACAAAAAACAGTTAAAGCTTTTTTTGTAATTTGGAAAACGTATCTTCTCCAGGACTGATATTCATAGGCTAAGTTTCAGCTCAGATTAAATTTTCCTTAATTCCCCAAAGACAGGCTTTATAATAGAACCATTGATAAACCTATACTTGTTGCAACAGCAGGCACTGTAAAACTGTTTTACTATATATGTACTATACAGCCATGAAGGGGTCATCCTGTTATTGCACAGCCTCAAGAGGATCATTGTTCCACTAAGGTAATGTTGGCACTGAGAGGGATCAGAGCAGATCTTTCAGGTACAGGAAAATTCTCCTATTTGAAGATTTGTTCCTGGGGCTGTAATTCTACTTGTATGCATTGATAGGATATATTTGCTATGTCTCACTTGGAGAGAATTGGACTAGATGACCTGATATGTCTTTTCATTCTATGCCTTCCAGTGTGTGGTACATTCATGGGTGCAAAGGGTTTTCCTCCTTCCTCCTGTCCCAAGTTTATATAAACCCATATCTGCTCCCATTGAAATTAGTTGTAAAATTCTCATTGACTTCAGAGGTGCAGTGTCAGGCTCATGAAAGGATGCCCTTGCATACTGTCAACTTGGGTGGATTGTTGGGCCAGGTTTGAGAGGTCTGCACTTACATCCCAAATGTACAGAACATGTGTTTCCCTCTAGATTAGATTAGATTAGATTATTAGTTCCAGGTAGTGAGGTGAGCAGTAACGTCTTGTATGAGGGAGCACCTAGCACACTTCTTGTGATGGTGTGTTATTCCCAAATTAGGAAGTTTGACATCTGGTGCTATGAACCTCATTCTAATGTTGTACAGTGTTTTGTGTTTTGCATGCTTAGGTCTTGCTTGTCGGATATCTCCATATTGTAAATAAAGCGTGGACTTCCCTGCCTATCATTGGTGACTGTTTATTGTGGAAGCTGGGTCATTGGAGGGAGGTGTGCTGGGAAGGGAGGTGTGCCCCTGATGTTTAGTATGTTATGTAATGTACTTGATCAACCTATTGTCTTTTGTTTCTGAAAGTATTAATATTTTTGTATGTTACTTTAAAACATAATCATTACAATAAAAATTGGTATTGAAAAATCTTGACCAACACTTCTAGCCAAAGCAAGAGTTTTCGGTCCCAAAGAGGGAAAGCATTTAAACTGAAAGGGAAATATCTTTGAAACCTATTTATGCTTCAACTGCCAGAATTTATTGCCTTGAGCAATTACAGGTAGCAAAGGAAACAAAATTGATATTTTCCACTTTTCAAGGCTTCTAACAACTTACCCTTTAATATTTCACACCTTAGTTTAGTAGAAAAACTACAGGAAGTGTTTGTGGTTTATCTATAGGGGCACAATTGTGGCAAGATCAAGCAATAAAAGGATGTTGGGGAACAGTTTTTTGTCTATATATTTTCCATTCAAATATACTGTATACTACATGGCTTAACATAGCTATGTCACAGAGTTAGAGTTAAAAATTAGAGAAATTAAGATGTAGGCAAGGGTTGCAGGACTTCATCACCATGATAAGTAACTTACACACACACACACACACACACACCCTCCGCAAAACAGATTAGATCAGATCAGGAGAAAAGAGATGCTTTCCAATTAAATTTGAAAAGAGATGAAGTGTGGATGAAGGAGGACTGTTCAGATGACACAAGCAGCAGAGATGGCTGTTACACAAACAGTGGTGAGATAGCATGAGACCAGTCAATGCTAGAAAAGTAGCAATTTTCTCCAACGTAATGAGCAGAGCTTGGGACCTGGATGAGAGAGAGCTAGTTAGCTGAGGCTCAATTCAGTCGAGACACAGGTAATATTGGTAGGTGTGGGAAGGAATGCAAGAGGTTATATGACTGAGGTAGTGTCACACAGGTTCACAACTTTGATAGGTCATTTTAGATCCACATTTGGTCCTGGATGCCCAGATAGCTGCAGTGGTTAAGAGCGTTTTCCCCCTCCTCTGTGCCTAGTGAGAAGTCTGACCATTATTCAGATGCAGATTGTCAGATGCAGATTGTCAATTTTAGATGCAGATTGTCACTTCAAGAGTTACTCCAAGCCATAGAACTTCCCCAAAATAATCCCTCAAGCGTATCTTTTCAAAAAACATTGAAGCTTGATTTAAAAATTGTCAGTGAAGGAGAAGTCACCACAACCCTTGGTAAATTGTTTAAATATTAAAAATGTACACCTTATTTCCAGTCTGAATTTGTCTGGCTTCAACTTCCATCCATTGTTCCCCATGCAGATACTTATAGACTGCAATACATACCACTTTTGATGCAAGTACTTGTGTGTACGGGCTTACCTTTCACTTTCTACATCTATTCATTCACGCAAAACTCAATTGCTCCAAAGTTAGCGGACAGCAAGCACAGCAAGAGTGAGAGCACTGCCAAAGATTTTTATATAATAATTTTGAATGAAGACTCAAGTGTGTTTTGGAATAATTCATCGAGCTGTACTCCAACAGAGATTCTGCAGGATGACTCCTTGATAGTTGTGTAGTGCTTTGGAAACCGAAGGAATGGAGGTCATTTTGACAGCTGTTAAATAGCGTGGTTTGAAAGTTGTGGTTTATTAAGATGAGGGCTGATGGGCTGGCACTGAGTGAATTACACGCACAATTAAAGACTTGCATAAACTCCTGAACTCAAGCAGAATGTTTCCATTTAATTGCGATCTCCAAAATGATTTTGGTCAGTACAACTGCTTCTTAAACATATCATCAATATCAGGCTCAGGATTTTAATTACAATAAAGCGATTCACATGAAAACACTGTAAGCAACATAACATGCTTAATATTTCTTTGACAATTTTTTCCCAAAGATCTGTACATAATTAATGTTTGATACAACAATGCTGCTGGAACAAGATCTATCTTTTAAAACATAAACACAAAACTCCTTTTCATCACTGGTTAACAGTTATTTATGGCACTACATTTTAGTGGTAAATAATTCTCATTGGGGCTGAGTATGGGGTGTGAGATTATATACCTCTACTTTGTAATGAAGATTCTGCTTTGCTTGTTTCATATGATTATTTGATGGAATATCAGATTACTCAATCATAAGATTCTTTTTACTCATTTAAAGTAAAAGGATAAATGTTATAAAAATACCTTTAGTACATTGGTGATTTTTAAACTAGAGTGAATATTAAAAATATTAACCAGGAATTGAAAGTTTTAGGCCCCAACCCCAAAAGCAATTTATGCAAATGCTTAATTTTATTCATGTGAAGAGTCTGATTGACTTCAATTGGACTGCTTGTGAGTGCCATTAAGCATGTGTGTAAGAGTGCAAGGTTGGGGCCTTAGTACTTAGAAAGGAGAAATTGTGTTCTGCAGATAAATATTCACAGCACATAAATAAAATCTAGCTTTTTAGAATGTACACACACTGGAAAGAATATATTAAACTTAAAAGGTGTTTTTTCTTTTCTCCCTTAATAGCACAAAATGTTTCCATTTAATTCAAAAAGTTTTTATTTGTTCCCATCTAGAGAACTAGTTCTCCACCTACCTGTAAACTTGTATGGAAAACAAACCTAACTCAAGAATGTCTATCGTCAGCTGGCACTATTCGGAGGAAATGAAGGTTGGCAATTGTTTCTATATACCTTGTATTAATAATAAACCTTCTCATAGAGAAGAATAGATTTTTAAATATTTTAAATGATGATATTTACAGCAATAAAAATTCACATTTTCACGCATTAGTGAGACTCTTTAAAATTGTACACCAGGCAGTCGTCATAGTATCTCTACCCAGTTCCCAGTAACTGTCTCGCCTTCAAGTCTCTAGTACCCAGAGACTTAAAACCTTGATAGTTGTGGCAGGAGGGGGGAGAGAAAATACATTTCTAGCAGATTTGGACAAAAAATGACAGATCTTTTCAGCCATAGAGTCCCAGCAGCAATCTTATGTCACAGAGCAATACAAGGTAATAACGGTGTATGTTTCCAAACCCATTAGACCTGTCCTGTATGTTTTGTGATGGCAGGGCCTGTCTGTAGCAACTGCTCCATGGTATGATCCTCAGTAGTCTGGAAGAACTGTACCCATCACATGGCAAGAGAAAAATAGCCCTTCAGAGTGTAGCTGACCCCCCCGGTCCCCTTAAGTAGGCAGAGTGCATGTCTATTGCACCAGTTTTTCCAAAGTATTGGGAAAGGATCATGTGTGTGTGATTCCTTTCATTGCTATATACACTTTTCTGATAAGTTCAACGTTTCACTGGGAAAGGTGACCTGGAGGGAGCTGCTTTTGGGCACAGAGCTGGCTTCGCCACCAGACCCGACTTCATTCACCAGAAAGACACTCTCAGAGTCCTGTCCCGGCAAAGAGTCTGAGGTCTCTGAGCTGCGTAATGTCCTCACTGATGTAGTGTCACACTGAGCCAGACCAGCACTGGCTCCTGGCAGCAGCATGCGACCCCCAGTGCTACTTTCACTTAGCTCTGGAGGGTAGAGCAATGTCTGTGAGGTGCTACTGATCTCCCTCAGCTCCCGAGAGATGAAGGAAGGTGAGTGGCTGGACATGGCGGAGGAGGTTCGGCGTCCATCCGCACAGTTGAAATTGCTCCCAGAGTGTTGCCTTCGAGCCCCTCCAATGCGGCAGAAGAGGCACTTGATTTTCTCTATGACTTTGCTGAGCACTGTCTTGCGGAGGAGGATGTAGACCCAGGGATCCAGGATGGGGTTCACTGAAGCAATGCGGATGGCCTGCAAGTCAGGGTTTTGACTGACATCCTTCACTATGTCTGGTCGGTACAGTTGGTTCACGAAGACACGTACCTGTCAAGGGGAAAAGAGAGACCCATATTTACAGTTCAATGCAGCAAACCAGAGATGACATTTCAAAGAAGAAATCAGGCTTAGTAATTGCATGTTACAACAAGGGGAGAGGTTGGCAAAGCCAAGCTTCTCATGTCAGCAGCAGGTTTATTTTTGGAAAGGGCAAAGATCAAGGAATGAACTATGCTGTAAATTGACCTTTTTTCCTTACTCTTGAGGGAAAGAACTGCTCTCTTTTCCCCTCCTGATTACTGCCTAGACCCCTGAAGTATCCTTGTATCCATGAACCTTTCCAGTTCATCCCTAAAGTTTTTTAATTTTCAAATCCCAGGTGGTTGTTTTTCCTTCTCTTTATAGGGCCCAGAATTCAAGATTTAGACCCAAATCCTTGTATAACCAAATCTTTGCCAGCCAGGGGTACAGGAGGCCCTAGGCCAATTGAGGAGACCTAATCATTGCATATTTCCTCCAGCTAGGCTCTCATAATTGTATGTTTAAAACCAAATGAAATCCACATTACCAGCTATCAGGCAAACTGGTCTCCGGAGACAAGCCCAGAGCTGCCTAATCCCTAGTTAAGAAATATTTGTGCTGACAGCTTCCATTATTAGAGCTTCAAGGCAATGTTTTAATACCCTCAACATTCTGCTTGTTGGAGCTTGTTTTAAGAAATGCTAACAGCTGCCTCTAACGGCCAGATTTTTCATTGATTAGGATGATTCCAGCACTGAGCAGAACTGTTTAGATCTTCCCAGCTGGGTCTGCATCTAGGTTTGGATTGAAAGGTGCAAAAGTAATAACCCTGAAATGTTCAGGATGTTCAGTTCAATTGCTGGGATACAGAAGTTTGTTTAAATAGTGTTTCTAAGTAACCACTCAGAAATTTTGTAGTGAATTAACACTTGATTGGGATCTTGTTTATCCATAGTAGGAGTTGACCATTCAGGCTCCTTGCTTTAAAGAGAGGGGAAACAACAGCACAGTTCTAGCTTGTTCATTAAGAGCCTTTGCAATCACTACTGTGCATAAAGTCCAGTCCAACACTAATGTCAATGGGGTTATCTTTCCAGTGACCTTAATGAGTACTGTTTGGATACACAGAGCTTATTATGTTGAAGTGTTCCAAGCTGAACAGTTTCAAACAATAACTTTAACTAACAATCAGGACTTGAAATGTGTCCCAGGAATAGGAAAGCCATTGGAAAGCCTTTCCTGTGGAAGACCCTACCTGCTTTGCAGACACTATCAGGTAAGTTTAGGCAAATCAACTTTCCTTATTTGATATCATAAATATCCAGAACCAATAATAGATTTTATGAATTCTCCTCTTTGTCTTGACTTCTGAAGTGAATGTTTGTCAGGTTTTGGCCCAGTTGGATACGGTTTCAGACAAGAGGTTTAAATGAAGTGAAGGAAAACATTGGAAAACCTCTAAAGTCATATTTACCAGAAAAGTGTGTGTGAAACAATCCAAGACTGATGAAAAATTTCACAATTCAGTACAGTAATGTGAGGTTTGGATTGATTCTTCCTACATAGAATTCAAGACTTGAATTCATGCCCAGCAACTTTAAATTCAGCAACTTAAAAAAAAAAAAAGACCAGGTCCACCTCTTGAGTGGGAATTTGAGTCTAATATGTGTATCACTGAAAAATAGTGAGTATCTGATGGTTCCTATGCTGTCCTGCTCAATCTGTAGTAATCATTTTCTGAGCTATCGCTATGTAATCTATATTCACGATTGCATTCCTTTACCTGCTTAAAGTTAGATAATTACTAGGTAGAGATACAAGTATCAGTCAGTGATATAAAAGTACTATGGAGAGTATCGCTATCAATATAACTACCAATTAGTTCCTCTTAAAGGGATTTTTTTTTTTAGTTACCATATTAGGAAGCAAAATTGCCACCTTTTCTGACCTGAGTGGTCCCCTTGTATCACTGCTTGAGGAACAATTGAAATAAGACACTTATTTAAAATGTATTTCCTCTATACATTAAAATACATAAAATATGGGCAAATTCTACAGAATTGTAGTGAAGAAAAGCCTTCACCATTTGGCCCTGAGAGTTTGTGTTAGTGCAATAAAAGTAATCCGATTATCTAGTTTGACCATAAAGTCTGGTGGAGAATCTTACCACTAGGTGGCACCGTTGTCACACTTTTAAAAGCTCCTCTTCCTGTCTCTAGTTTGAGGAAACACGAAAGATCAGTTACTAACTGTGGTACTTGCTTTGACAGGGAGAGGTACCATGAAAGACATGCCATGACCAATTTAATGTTCTTTGAACGCATTACCAATGCCAGCCACAAACCATGCAGGCACTAAAGAGTTCTGCTGCTTAACTCCCACCCCTCTGAGATGAACTTCAGCACTGAAACGCTGTCATCTCTCTTACATAGACTCTGTGTCTGAGAAGAGGCAGTCAGAACTCCAGAAAGCAGCAGCGTTAGCTTTCTTTGACATCTGCTCCTTGGTTTTAAAAGCCATTCTTGGAAGATTCACTTAGTTATTTGTGTACGGAGGAGAAGAATAATGCTGATATTTTGAAAAAAATGAATAAATCTCAGAAATATAAAGTTTAAATTGCCAGAGAGGATTTTTCTCCTGATCCTTTCCTCTTAGGAGATTTTTTTTAAATGCAAAGGACTTCTTCCACAGCAAATTCAAGTATACCCTGCAAATGTACATACATCTGTCTTGACACAGACCATTTAATCTTTGCTGAAGGACTGCCTGCACTGACAGCTAGGGCTCCATAAGAGAGTATATTGTGGTTAGATGCACAGTATTTATTTTCCTTCAGCCCCTTCCAACTGACATTTATACTCCATGTAAACAAGATCAGGAAGAAATTAGCAGGGGAGGAAACAGTACTACTAATACATTCAACTGATACAGCAGAGACATCTTGAAAGAATTTGCCAAAACCACTCATAAGAAATATGTTATTGTTCCAAACTTTAAAATTTGATCTTTTTCATTCTATTTTTACATAGCTGTAATTCTGGACCATCAGATTAATGTGAATGATTAAAAGGTAAATTTAGTTATCAGCTAACAGCGTCTGAACAGGAAATTCATGTACTTGACACATCCCTTTATGTTTACCTGGCAGAGCTTACTGTAATATGAGAATCTATTGTAGTGCTGATTAAATAGTTGATAATGATTTCCAATCACTAACAATGTCTGGTTACATTGCAGTAAATCACCTTATGATGTCTATATTCCGAATAGTCCACTGACAGATGCATACTAGGTATGTATAAAAGACACTTAATTTGGACCTACTTTGTGAAAACTTTAGAATGTACACAGCTGTTACTACATTCCCAGCAAGCCTATGCCATAGCTTTTATCACAAAATCCAATGGCATATCAAACTAGTTTTACTAGTACATGCCCATACGAACTGCATGTATCATTATTAATCATATGTCTGGCAAAAAAGAAACTGAATGGATCTGCCAGTTCAGTCATTTCTTAAGTAACTGAATTAATATTCACGTACAGCATCTTCTGCAGAGCAACACTGAAGTGCATATAATGTTTTGCTGAAAAATGCTCTTTTACAAGATTGTTTGATGAAGCAAAGTCAGCCTGGCCTCTTATGAACATCCAACCAATCCACTCAATTACCTTGAGGCAATGGATTACTGTGTATCAGAACTAGTTTGACACTTGAAGTTGTCCAGTTTGAAGTTCTAATTAAAGCAAGAAGCAAACTGAGACTGATCAAACCCTGGCACCAGAACAGGTTTGCACTAGTTAGATTTCTCAATTACTGGGAGCAAAGAGTGGTTTTTTTAAGGTGTATTAATGAATTGCTTCTCGTGGCTGTGTTGAAATTGTTCTGAAATTTATGCCCAAGTGATTAGATTCTAGAATCACTTGGCTGCTTCTGCTCACACAGTGCAAGAGTCTGGTTTTTGCTTTTCCCTCTGACTAAATGTAAATATAAGTGGCAATTTCTACCCATCTGAAGTACCATCAAGTGCCTTTTATGATAGTTATTATGCAGAATAAACAAAGGAGTAGCCCTCTACCCAGTTTTCACCTGTTCTCATAAAAACTTCCCCATATCATATATTGACATATTATAAATAGACACTTAGTTAATAGCAAGCAGGAAACAAATTCTGTAGTTGTGTAAGCCAAATATGCTTTGTCCCACAGGGATTTAATATTTGACATAGGTGATCATGCCATTGCTCCAAAATCTAGTCTGCCATCTCACCTCTGACCATGGACAGTCCTGATACTTCAGAGGAAAAATAAACAACATTAACCCCTGGGACAATTATAAATTAAGTTTAAAAACTCCTTTCTGGCCCCTTCAGGGATCAAATGTATGCAGTGGAATATGAGATTTTATTACTCTTACTACCTTAGCATACCAAGCTAAATGTATTGTTAGAGATCATTAAATGATCATGCCCTTTAAAAAAAATTGACCACCTGCAGCATTGAATTCCAAAATTTGACTATCAAGTTTCTCTTTACTCTTTCGAGAGTGTAAAAGCAAAAACACAAATACTAATTTCTACTATGTTTTCAATCAAATCCCCTCTAATATCACCTTTTCCATACCTTTAACTACCTTTACTGCCATTTTGGAAACCTTGCAGTCCTTTAAATATTGCTTTTAAGATGAAGTGACCAATGATGAACTTGGATAAAGGTCTGGACATATGTTTTGTATTACTTTCTATCTTATTTCCTTGATCAGACTCTTCACCAGGCCATCCACAATAACTTTCTGCAAGTTCAGAGAAGAGTATGTGAAAGATTTAGATTATTTTTGCTAGAGTGCATTCCTTTTAGTGTTGTCGGTTCATTTTATCTGTCTTTATGCTCTTTTGTTCGCTCAAGTCCATCTAAAGTTTCTCACAATATTTCATAGGTTTTATTAATGAAAGCTATTTAGTGCCATCATAAAACTTCACTGATTCACTGTCCAAATCTTTAAAATATTAAAAACACTGAGCTCTGAGAGCATCCCATTATTACCTTCTGTTCACTATGATTCAGTTTCCTATTGTTTAACCATTCTTTAAATAAAGACAAGACTTTATTTATTACACCATGGTTATTTCTTTTTCTGAAGTTCTTTAAAAACCTTTTGTAAACCTACGTAAATAAAGTCCACTGGATCACCTTATCTACTTTATTATCTCCTGAAAGAGCTCACTCTGAGAAAGTAAGATGATATGATTCTCTCCTACAGAAGCTGTGTTGCTCTGACCCTATTAGGTTATGGTTTATTCAGCTCCTGTCACCAATAGGAAATCAGCTCATCAGAAAATTTCATAGCCACAAAGAAGCCTCTGTGTCTGCCTTATGTAACTGCAGAGTGCCACCAACAGTATCTGGATGCTCCCCCTCTTCCTTATCAGAACAGACTGTTCTGTAATCAGTTCCCTCTGTAGTGAGGGCTCTAAGTTTAATCAACAGGATCTGCATTGGCTCATAAAATGTATAGGCAGGTTAATGATTTTCCAGTCTTTCTGCCCAGTGGCTGCTTTTAAAGGTATATTGCATATTCATACCTTCCTTCCACTATTCCGCACCTTATTTCCTTCAGAACATTAAGGGCATGTCTACACACAAAGTTGTACCAGTGTCATTAAAGCGGGCCAACCCCGCAAGTATGGATGTAGTTATAGCAGTGTAAAGGTGCTCAGATGGTTATAACTTAAACCTGGCCCATGCTTAAAAGTTGTTGATATGGCTACATCAGCGTGTGAAAAGAATGTTTCCCCCAACCTAGCTAATTTAGCACGGAGAGGTGGTGTTCCTACAGCTATGGTAAAACCCCTTCCATTGGAGTCGGTTGCGCCCACACTACAAGGTTATGCCGGCACAGTGATGTACCATAGCTATGCCACTATAGTCCCTGTAGTGTAGACATGGCCTGAATCAGTTAAATTAGTACAACATCCATGTGTAGATCAGCCCTTAGGTCTTGCCTTCACTGCTAACAAAAACAGGGTAACTAATGTGGTGCATGAGCTATCCTGAGTTAAAAACACAGTGAAGACCAGGCACTTTAGTTTTACCATGAGGTAAAGTAGGCAAGGCCAACCCAAGATCGGGGCATAGAGTTGACCTCCCCTCGCTTACCTTGCAGTAAAACTAAAAGTGCCTTGTCTATGCTCTGTTTTTACCTCAGGACGCATGTTACCTGAGGTACAAAATACCACACTTTTTAGCAGTGAAGACAAGACCTGAGATGGATGCAGCACATCCTAGTCCTCTTTTCTCTTGGTACCTGCCCGCTCCCACAGTTTATGTAGTCACCAGCCTCCCACCAAAACCGCTTACCCCCCAAGACCATTAATTTTGATTTTCAACAATCCAGTTGCCTTTCTGGTGGAGCCACCCCCACCCCGTATATTTTGGTTATTCTTTCTGTAAAAGTTTCTCCATGAATCTTTAATGAAATTGAACCACATCTCTTTGTATTCGGCACTGAGACTTCTTAGTTCCTCCTCTCTATCTGGTCCTGCACGAGATTCACCCACTAGTTTATATTTAACTTTCAGATCCTTTTTCTTGCATTTACCTATGTTCCTTCCAATAATATGGTATTAAAATATTTTTCAGAGTTGTTACAATGTCAGCTTAATCTAATTAAGTATCTTCAGTCCAATATCAGGAGGTTAGCAATTATATGACCTGAGTGTTGATTGAGTAGGAAAACAGAATAACTGCGCAGTTTCTGATCTTGGGCTACACAGCTCTAAGCACAGTTCTTGGTTCTGATGTGTGCATGCACATGGGTGCACACATATTAGGGAGACCAGACAGCAAGTGTGAAAAATTGGGACGGGGGTAGGGGGCAATAGGAGCCTATATAAGAAAAAGACTCAAAAATCAGGACTGTCCCTATAAAATCGGGACATCTGGTCACCCTAACACACATGCACACCCACACTACATGCTGATACAAAAACCATGCTTTAATTGAGTCAACCTTCCAATTCTTAAGATGTTTTCCAAGACATTAAGATGTCCTGCAAGCAATAACATGGCAAAGTGAGCAGTTGTGCCAGGGTGCACTGCAAAACATTAGGCTGAAGGCCAAGTGGCTGCAGCCAAAATGCCAGGATCCAGGCACAGCTGCACTTCACTGAGTTTTATACATGTTAGTAATGTGGCAAAACTGGCCTGACCCCTGCAATTATACTATTTAACTGAATAGTTCACAATCCTAGTTGGCCAATCATATTTTACCCTCATTATGTGGATCCCTGTTATAATAACAACCCTGATATGGGGCTATTCCAGGATAGCTGCCACCTACAGTAAACTCCATTACAATTATCTGTGTTCTAAAACCATCTCATTCTAATAACACTCCTACCGTTCAGCTCACAAGATCCTGTTCTGGGAAGGTGGCAACTATGCATAGCCAATTGTTTTTTTTTCTTTTAATGTATCTGAGTCAACAAGAGAAAAAAGTTTGCCAAGTTTTATTTGTAATTTTGTGTTGAGTGGCAAGCACTGACTGAGCCCAAAACTGGTATTTTTGGTATTAACTTCCCCTGGAGTTAAGGTGGAGGGCAAGAAGAAGGTTAGTTCACTAATCAAAGGTTGGATCCTACTGCCAATGATGTCAATGACACCAATGGTAGTAGCTTCAAGATTGGGCCCCAAGTGATCTGTTCATCTGTTTTAGGAAGTTAGCCAGTCATCTGTGATCATGCCCGGTACTAACATGATCTCTAGATTACTTAGGGCCAGATTCTGCCACTCTTACTCTAGCTGAGAAATCAACAAGAGTGCCCACAGATTAAGGCATGACTCAAGGAGAGTAAGGGTAGTAGACTCTAACCCTATGATGGTAAACTCTTCGGGACAGGGAGCTTGTTTTTGTACTTTCTGTGAAGTGCACTGCACACTGTTGGTGCTATATACATAATAACCTCGCTCTCCTCTGTATCTTAACACAGCAACACTGCAAATACTTTAAAAATGCATTAAGCGTCCTCAAGTGCAGGCCTGTCCCAAACCACATTCACTTGCAGTTTGATTTAAAAACAGATTTTAAGATACCTTAGAGTCTTGCCAGGATTTTCCTATGATATTTCTCTGAGATACTGGGGAAGCCACTCTTTTTTTTGTCGTATTTTTAACACTACAATGTCAAAGGCACCTGGAGCTGAGGATAAGCATTTATTTTTGTTACCATTCTAAATCAAAATAAGTTTAGATCACTGCCTATGTGTGTGTAATCTCATTAGAATTGTTTTAGTGACTTGTGAGAGCCCAGAAAATAGAAGCCTTGTCCTACAGCCACAGACTAAAAGGAGGTGGGTGAGTTTTGTCCCAGAGGACTTGGTGGTGGGGAAGATGGAAAGGGCAGTGCAGTGTTACTTACCACCAGAGGAATGGAGCAGATGACCACAACCAGGGAGGTGGCAATAAGCAAAATGACCATCTGGATCTCTGCTCCAGCCATGCGACGAAAGCTCCTGCGCCGGCGAAAGTCAGACAAGCGGCTGGCGGTGTTGTCTGTGCCCAGGGAGGTGCGTCGCATGAACTGACGGTGCATGCGAATCAGGGCCACACACACCAAGACATTGCAGACTACCGTGACCATGATTAGGAAGGAGCTGAAGCCGGCATACATGTAGGAGTAGGCGGCATGGGTGGCCTCCTTGGTCTTCCAGTCTATGAAACACCAAGTTTGGGGGTACTGTAAGGTAGATTTGCCTAGTCCCATGCTGGGTAGGGCGCAGAACAGCACATTGGAGACATAAATGGCAAAGAGAGTGAGCCCTGCCAGCTTCTTATCCACATAATGGTTGTAGAAATAGGCATGGTTAATGGCCAGGTACCTTTCTATAGACATGGCACAGATGATGCTGAGGCCAGAGAGCCCGAAGAAAAGGAGGATGAAGGAGCTGTATTCACACAGTTCAGATCCACCTGGCCAGCGGTTCTGCAGGTATGTGGCAATAGTGACTGGGCTCACCAGACAGGTCCCCAAGAGGTCAGTGATTGCCAGTCCACACACCAGCGTGTAGAAAGTGGTCTCCTTCTGCTCCTTCCTGGACTTGCAAAGCACCACGATGGCAATCAGGTTGCCCACCACCCCAAAGATGAACATGACAGTGGGGATGGTGGGGGGCTTGCCGTCCCCATGCTCACTGGTGGAACTGTTCGCTGTTGTGTATATGGTGGTGTGGTCAAAAGACATGATGATGAAGATTCTGTTGTTGTGGGTTGTCAGGGGAGATGAAAACAAAAGTGGATCCAAAAATGCAGTTCAAAGACAAGTCCCTCCCCCTCTGTTCCCCCCAAAACGTCAAGGAACAAACTGCAGTTCAAGACAAGAGATTCAATTAAAAAACCTCTGCATTTCAAGGCAAGGGGGGTGAGCTTAAAAAGCAACTGAATTCAAGAAAAAACAGACGCAATGGAAAGTGAAGCCACACACACACACACACAAAAAAAAAGCCTTGCAATTCAAAAAGCTGCAGTTAATGTTTTTTCTTCGTACCGCTTTTGTTGTGGCTCCTGTTCTATTAGTTTTTGGGCAGGTTCTTGCACTTTCCAAAGTTCAGCTCGGAAACAGATCCCAGCTTCTGAGAGTGGGGGACTTTCCCTTTTTCCGGTGCAAGCTGCTCTTTTCCTTGTCTTTGCCCCTCAACTTTGTACCATCAAAATCTTCCCAATGGTCTTCCTCCAAAAAGAGGTTCAGAGAGATCCTTGAAGCATCGGCGTTGCTTTCCAAACCCTGTCCTTTTGCCGTGTGTGTCCCTGCGTGCCAACAGCTGCTGAGTCCAGTTCCTTGAGACGTGGAAATAAGGATTCAGAGGAGCAGAGGTGGGGACTGTCCCAGCCCCTTCTTTCCCAACTTGTTCAGGACCCTTTGCGGTGGGAGCGCGCAGGGCGCTGGAGTTATAAGAGCAGCGGGCGGTGGATGGCGATGGCAGGTGCGTGTCTCTCCTCCCAGTCGCCTCCGTTGGATGCTGGACTGAGCTGCTGGCAGCTCGGTGCTGAGAGTCCCACGCAGCCCGGCTGTGTGAGCTGTGCCAGTGGCTGGCCCCTGGAGCTCATCCCTCCTCGGAGCATGTGCTGCCGTGTGTGTGTGTCACCCTCGCTCGCTCACAGGCGGGGCGAGCCTTCGCTCCCTTCAAGTTTCTCCAGAGGGGGAGGAGGCAGAGGGGGCAGCTCCCCTGGGCTCCTCCCACCCCCCTCGCCCGATTGGTCGGGGGAGGGACAGCACCGCCCGCCGGCGGTACCGCCTCGCCCGCCGCAGCAGCAGCGCAGCGAACATCGGCACAGACGGGCTGGGCTGCAGGTTGTGCAGAGCCGCGCCTGGGACGGAGCTTTTAGGAGCACGGTGGCTCCTTGGGGGCCGGGGGGAGAGACACCGCAGTGGGGCTGGGTCAGGGGAGCATTGGGAATTGGGGGCTGAGAGGAGAGACCAGAGTGGGGTTGGGGGGCACTGGGAATTGGGGGCTGAGAGGAGAGACCAGAGTGGGGTTGGGGGGGCACTGGGAATTGGGGGCTGAAGGGAGAGACCAGAGTGGGGTTGGGGGGGCACTGGGAATTGGGGGCCAGGGAGGGAAATCACAGTGGGATTGGGCAGACTGTTAGAAAACTGGGGGGCAGGGCACAGTGACCCCTGGGTGGGGCAGGGTGGGAGGCGGCAGCAGGAGGTGGGGATGGTCTCAGCGAGCGGGGGGAGAGGAGGCAGGGACAGACACTAGAGCGGTGGGTGGATGGGGCAGGCCAGGTCCAGTAGTGACATCCATTCTCCCTCCTGAGACTCCAGTGCCATCGTGCGGGCCTGGGCTGATCAGAGAGCATGGGAAGAAAAGGGGATTCAGGAGAGCCAAAGCTATAGGAGACACTCAGGAGGGAAGGAGGAAAGCAAGACTGGGGAAGTGGAGCCAGGGAGCCAGAGGAAGACGAAGGGGAAGGGAAGGGAAGGGCAGGGGCCTGGTGATGGGACAGGGGAACCTATCCACATGCTGGCAGGCTTCACGAAGAGGCCAGGCTGCCTTTGTGTGAGGTGTCACCATGGTGTGTCCCGGCACTGCATTGTGAAGCACACTAGGGAGGCAGTGGCTGGGTGAGGGTGAGGCAGTTGGAGGGAGACAAAGTGACTGGGTGGTGAAGACCATTTAAAGTGGATGTGATTGGCATCATATGCAGCCCAGCCCACCCCCATTTGCAACTCACTGTTCCTTTGCTTTAAATGTTCAGTAGCTTCCCAGCCAAGCCATATGGGATGTATTTTCTCCCAAGTCCTTTCTGTATGGTCCACAGCTTGGGGAAGTTTGTCTGGCTTCCCTCACTTCTAAGAAGTACATAATTAAATCAGATCTGGGGTCTTGCTTTCAGGGAGAAAGCAAGGCCCCTGAGTTTGCCTTTCAGGTTGAGTGCCCTCCATTCCGAATGATTGCAATGGGAGTGGAGGGCTGACAGCACCTTGCAGGATCAGGCTGTGAAGGGCCTTCCCAAAAGTACTGTTTCTCTGTACAGAGCACTGGCAGTTTGCTCAGCAGTGTTTTACCATAAAAGCCTCACAAATTTCTGGAATGGAACTTTGGGAGAGGCCCCATCTCTTCCTCCTCCAGGGCAATGTAAAAACTGAAGATGTGCATATGGGAGGTGATGATATGCCTTGCAATGAGGTGATATGATACCACTGCTGTTGACCATATAAGGAAATGCCTGCCATGTAAAGTTGATTTCACCTCTTGTTTATTAATGACAAGCAACTAAAAGGGATCTCACCTGGGCTGGTTTCTAAGAGGATGAGTGCAAGAAAAGTGACATGACATTCCAGAGTACAAAATAACAAAGCCCTATAGCAGGAGTCTCTTGTGGCATAAAAGAATATCTGCCTTTACTGCCACAAGATGATCTTTCTACAGCACGGCATGTGTATATAATGAAATTTACCTGCATTTAGCATGAGTCTTTATTATTTAAATATTTACTAAACTCAGGAAGGGTGTGTGTGTGTACGCACATGGGGAAAGGGTTTATATATTACTGTGAAGACTTGTTTTATCATGATCAGGAGAACTGGATAGCACAGGGGATCGGTAATGGGATTGATTACGTTTAAGGCTAAAGTGTAGTTAGTTCAAATTTGGCTCAGGTTGGTAGTGGACAAAAATTGTTGCCAACTGGTCGCTATTTGGTGGCCTTTGTGAAAGGAGCAGATGGTCATAGAGTTCCTGGTGCAAAAGTGTCTAGATACAGAGAGACAATTCAAACAAAAATTGCTGCCACAATAGTTCTCTCAGCAGAGGGGCATTAATGACAAGAGTTAGTACTTCCATGTCAGGGTGAAAAACATAGGAGCTGCTCTCCCAGATGTTTCAGAGGAAGGTGAAAAAGCCTGTGCCCCGAAGCATGTGGTTTATACCCCTTAATGAAAACATCTAGTTATATCAGATGGGATTTTTTTTAATATGATATAAATGTCTAATCCTTTTTTGAATCCTATGAGTTTGGCCTTTCCGATACATGGCAATGAATTCCACAGGTTAATTATGAATTGTTTAAAAAATAGTATTTTGCTTTATTAGTTTGGTTAAGGCACATTGGCACAGTAGACGCGGGGGGGGGGAGAGAGAGGGAGAGTTTGTGTTGGAGTGGGACACACTTCTGGGGATAGATGACCAGTTTTCAGTGATGAGTCTGCACACATGTCTGTGGTGTAAGGAAGGAGCATATTTTGTGGTTCAGTCACTTCAGTTTCTAGTGCTGTCAGTCTGGCATATTCAAATACTAAATTAAATTTCAGAATAAAATAAAAAGCTTTTCTGTAGTACACTTTATAGAAATAAATAGCTGCGACTAACTGATGTTGATCTTCTTGTTGGGAAAAAAACTACACCGAATTAAACTATTTATGTGCCTTTCAAGTTAAAAGTATGACAGCTCTTCCTCCTTTACACCTGCAAAATCAAGTAAAAATAAGTTATTTTTTGTTGTTGTTAAGGTGTGATAGCAAAATGATATGTTATGGCAGCAGAGCAAAGTGTGTGTGTGTGCGTGCGGTGTGTGTGTACAGGATTTGCCTGACAAGGCAAAGTGATAAAATCTTAGGCATCGTTTTATAAACAATTCAAAATATTTGAAAACTAAGGCGTAGCACAGTGACTGTTTTTCTTAATTTTGTGATAGCTTTTTCAATTGATTTTTTTAATATCAACATAGGACCAAATATCAGTGCACAAAACACCCCTCAAGGATACAGAAGTCACTAAACTACCCTTGGAAAATGATACTTGCTCTCTGAATGGCCTTTGCTCTGGCAGCATAAAGAGGCCTTGAAGTGGATGTAAGTGCAATGCAGGGGTAGCAGTCACTGCTAGCATAGGGAAGGAGGAGACATCCTGTTTCCCCTGATCAACAGAGACCTCCTGCACAGAGTCCATTTATAGAATCTAAGCACAGAAGAACACTTTTTGTTCTTTAGTGCTTCCTTTCTGTTTCACTTCCTGCTTATTATGAATCTGATCAATTAAGATATTGAGATGGTTGCCTCAACTCCAGTTGACATAGGAATAGAGGGTGCTCAGATCCTTCATCTCTCTCTCTCTCTCTCTCTCTCTCACACACACACACACACACACACACACACACACACACACAG